CTTCATCTCTCACTGGTGGACTTCGTTGCTCTCCTAATTTTGCCCTGACTTCAGTCTTGCTCTTTCTTTCACTCTCGCACGCTCTCTCTCTCTCTTACTCTCTCTCTCTCGCTCTCTCTCTCTCTCTCTCTCTCTCTCTCTCTCAGACTTGCTTCGTGTTGTGCCCTCGAATCGCTTTTCTTATAACACAGGGTTGGAGACGTGTGCCAATCAGGGTTTTTTTTTTTTTTTTTTTTAAAATGAGTGTTATATTCTTTTTAATTTAAAATGAAGTTTTGAAGCTATAACTTCTCCGAAATAACCACAGCCGCTTTGGACGAGTATTTGGAGGTTATAGGTACCTCCAAAAATTAGAAGCTTTATCTGGCGAGCTTGTTTGAACGCTCTGGCGGTTGGCCAAAATCTTAAACAAAGACATGTTGATCTTGAGGATGTTTGTGCTCTCTATGGTTGTGAATGGGAATCCTAGGTGCATCTTTTTTCTTTTTTGGGGAAATAGCTCAAAATGGCACCCATTTTATAATTTTTTCTAAAAATACCACCCCTCCCTTAAAAGTTTAAAACTACCACCTATAAATAATCTTTATTGTCGACTGACTACACCCATATCACTTTTTCAGAAATTGTGTTCTCTCTCAACTCTCTTGGCTCCATCTCTCTCTGTCACTCAGCTCTCTTCTCTCTCTCTCTCTCTCTCTCTCTCTCTCTCTCTCTCTCTCTCTCTCTCTCTCTCTCTCTTTCTCGTGTAACTCTCTCTTTCTCCGACGCAGTGTTCTTCCTCCCTCAGCTGTGTCCGTTCATTCAAGCTTAATTCCACGGTTCACATCCACAAGGTACTGTTCATTGTCCTTTTCTTAAAAATTTGAGGTTTTTGTGAATTTGGTTTAGGGTGTATGGATTTATATGAAATTGGTTTAAGGGTTTCTTCGAAATTGGTTTAGGGTTTTAGGATTTAGGGGTTGCTCTAAAATTGGTTTAGGATTTATGGGTTTCTATGAAATTGGTTTAGGGGGTTTCTTCTAAATTTGTTCAGGGTTTAGGGGTTCCTTGATACACCACATATTTCTTACCCTTTAATTCTGCTGAGCGTTGGTTGTGTGCTATATTTTAACCCAAGCAATGACATTCTCAGCCCGTATAACTATCTAATAATATCTATTATATTATAGCATGGGTTTGTCAGAGTGCTTAACGGTGTTTATCATGTTTGCATCTCATGCCTTAACTCCCTCTATTCTTTCGGGCAGTTGTCAGATTGTTTGAAAATAATTGTCCACTTATAATTTGTTGAAGACTCACCTTGTTATATGTTCATTTTACAAAACAGAGTTATGTTTTATGCATTCATAATAATTTTTTTTTGGTTAATTATATTACACTAGGTTGATTCTCATTTGTTCATTTGTCGAGACATTTTTTGTTTTTTCTTGAACTCTATCCCCCATATACGTTAAATGAGGTTTCTTTCCACTAAATATGACCTCAATGAACCTCTTTTCTATTTGGACCTGATATAAGTTTTCTTTTCTTTCTTAGAAATAAAAAAACTCTTGATTTCCAGGGCTACAGACATTCAAGGCATCTAATGAATAATCCTTGAATCTCAGTGTTAGTGCTATTGTAGGAAAAACTTCTTATCTTTTCAAAATTGCATCTTGTGTTGTTTGTAACACCTCAACCTAGGAATGCATGTTAATTGCTTCACTCAAACATATTGTGTGCAACATGGGAACTATTTTTTTTCCTTTTTCAGAAAAGATTATTAAACAGTATGCACAATACGCTTATGAGAAAGCCATAGCCAAATTACAACAAGAAAGAGCTGGACCAAACACTCTAATCCAATAGGACGCAACTTATGAAGTTACCTGATTTGGAATTTTGTTATTGTAGTCTTCTCAAAATTTAAACTTTGACATAAATATTGCTTTTTTTTTACTTCATCTCATGTGTTTTGTTGCTCATTATTTCTTTCTTCTTGTTTCCCTATCCATCAATGATTATTGCACCTTCCTAAGTTCATTCTTTCAAATTTCTTCAGGATTAAGTACAACATAAGCATTGTTGCTGACAAGGGTTTGAAGAAAACTCTTCATACTTCTGCGCGTTTGAAGAAGGGAGAAGTTCTTTATTTACAAACACATTCAGGCAGGTATAATGCTAACTATATATTGTACTGTGTATCTGGGATTTGACCATGATATGTTTTAAGGACTAATATTTGATTATCACATATTTTTCTTCATTTGTGTTGGCTACTGAATGTTATGTAACATAGGAGATGAGTTACTTGTAAATGAGGGAACATTGGCATTTTCCTTTCTATTTCTAGTTTGTTTAGCTAAACAACATAACTGAGGAGAGTTTGCTTGCGACTTAGGTTGACCAAGTGTAACCTGAGTCTTCCGAGGAATGCGGCTCGGGTTGACTTTGTGTTACCGAGGCTTGCAAGGATGTGTCGCTTATATGACACTTGGAATTGACAGTATAATGTGGGAAATAAATATAAAATCAAGGAATTGACATTTTTATTATAGGTACACCTAGGTGGAAAGGAATTGTTTCTTTACAACGCTTCTAATTGGTTTTGATGATTTGACTGAATGCATGATCGGTTATATGTATATAGATATGCATGCTTGATTTTTGTACGAATATAGAACATGGATATAAATGAATTTTCAAATGTTTTAACAGTGGGGTTAGTATGTTGATATTATATTTTCAAAACTTTCTTTTGTCTACTCACATTTTTAAATGTTTTGTGCGCCCAAGTAGTAGTCGTGTACCAAAGCACCACCATCGAGCGATCATCACCACGATTCATCCTTTTCTCTCTGTGTAGGGTTTCTATTGTAATCGAACTATTCCTATAAATTAAATTGATTAGTATTGCTTTGAAATTGCCGTAGGGTTTTCTCTAAGGCTTGAAGCCATAAAGATTTGATGTTGGTTGTGTGTGTCCTATCATTGTGCATGCTGAACTTTTGTGGATATGAATTGCTTTTTGTACAAGTGCAAATTTTTGGGAAACAAACAATTTACAGAACTCTGTCGAATTTTAGGCAAAAGTCAAACCTAAAAAAAAAATTTGAATTTTAGTTAGAAGGGCAATTTGGTCCAGTGTGCTCGACACCTGCCAAGTGTTGGACACGCACAGAGTTCAGCTCAGATTCCAAAGTGGAATTTGGGTCGGGTCTTGTCAAAATTGGTTGATAGGATAAGATTTTTTTTATAATTAAAATGTGAGTATGCAATATACAATCAATTGACATTAGATGAATAGACTCAAGACATTTCAATTATTAGGTAATGTTTTCATTCTCTAATGTGAAATTCACACTCAAACACCTAGACAAGATATGTCAGGGGACATGGGAGCATTTGTGACTATTAGACCCAATATGTGAATAATTTAACTCTATACCATATTAGAATGTAACATTTGATCCAAAACTAATTGACGATGAGTGAGGAGACTCAAATTTATTTAAATTATTAGACAAAGCTTTTACTCTCAGATGTGGTGTGAGACTCACACAATCAACCTTTTTTAAAATAGTAAATTTGATTTTTCCCCTTCAAATTAATTTTTCTTACCTGCAGCCCATCAATTTACTTTTCTATTAATAAAATTTAATTTTTTTAAGAAATACCGGATGACTAAGATCCAACTTAGTAAGTTACCTAATGAAGCTTACAATTTTATTTATTGTAACTTTCAGATCCCTAAAATAAACCTCCTTAAAATTTGAGTTGTCTTTGCAATTGTTGTTCGTCCATTTATCATGTTGGGTATACTTTCAACATATTTACTTGGCCACTATCCATTTCATTAAGTTTTTAAGGTTCAAATGGTGTTTTAAATTGGCTTAAATTTAGGAATTTTTTAGGGTAAGTTATTTCTTTTTTTAATAAATATTTTTTGGTCGTATTTCTTAAATAATCAAATTTAGAATAAACTAATGTACCTATTATTTAAAAAATTTAAATATACCTATTCTCTAAAAAAAACAAAATTTTAAATTTTTATTAAGAAACATTAATTTATTTGTACTTATCTTTTTAGTAAAATATACATAAAGTATTTATTAATGACCCAAAATTGTGTCATGTCTCTCTTCAGCAATGTATGATATCCTATTGTATCCGGCCAAAGGTGACCTAATTCAAGAAGCTAGCAAATATTGTGGAACAGAAAGCAGGCATATCGCATCAAAAAAATGAAAGCAGGCATATCGCATCAGAAAAAAGAAAGCAGGCATGCATTTATGATCCACACTGAAACTAGGGGGAATGCTAGCAACTTTCTTTCTAACCTTCTCCTCTGAACTTTCTCCCTTTTCCGCATGACATATGTCATTATCCTTACACTTAAAATAATGTAATTAATGCATCACACAAGCTAATTTTTATTTTCCAAATTTATCCTTATGTGATACATTAATGACATTGTTTTAAGTATAAAAAAAAGTGACACATGTCATGAGTTAAATGGAGAAGGTCCAAAAAAGAAGGTTAGAGAGAAGGTTGCTAGCATTCCTCTTTATCTATTACCATCATAATAACTCCACGGGCCGATGATTTTAAAAAATATTTTAAAATAATCTTCATGCACTTCTCTTCAATAGGAATGTACAGAAAAATAAAATTGATTAAAGAATAACTATTTTGAATTTTTTATTATAAAAATAATTATTTGAAATTGATTATAAAATAAAAAGAGAATGGGGACAGATGTCAAGACACTAGTGCGTTAGCCCAAATGCAACGTGTGATGTGAGTGAGTGAGTTGCTAAATATATATTAAAAAAATACAAAATTAAAGCTGCTAGCAGACTAGGCGCTAGATTTGATGACCATGTGTTTTCTGCTCCAGATAACATTCACAGTACTTGACCCAAACAAAAAAGCATTTTTTTAAAATAACCTCAACATACCTACTATACCAAGCAACATACTTAAAGTAATTTTTATTTATATTTTTGGTAAAAAATTAATACCTCTTCACCAACCAGGTTATTTAGCATTAAATCCCCTTTATATCCTCCAAACAAAAGATAACAAATTATTTTTAAAATAATTTAAAAATTAATTTAAAAATAAAAAGCGCTTTTAGGTTGTCATCAATCTTATCCCCGCCGTAAATCACCACCCTCCTCATCTTCTTCCACCAAATCTCACTCTCCATTTTCCACTAAAAATACCAGTCACTGTCTCTCTCTCTCTCTCTCTCAACCACAAAACCATGCTCTCCCCAACGTCATTTTCTCTCATCTGCACCGTTCTTCTCTGTTTGCCTCTCACCATAATCTTCACCATCACAAGCCCAACTGCCACCATAACCACCACCATCCCCACCCAAATCTCCCAATCCCCAAAACTCACCAAAACCTACCAAAAAATCCACCTAATTTCACCACCAAAATCCCTACCATTAGATGACGACTCGCTCTTCCACCTCGCCGCCCATGTCAAGTCCCGCCCGCCCCACTCCGATCGTCCCAAAATCGCCTTCCTCTTTCTAACCACCACCCCTCTTCCCTTCTTCCCTCTTTGGGAACGCTTCTTCAACCAAACCCCCAAAACCCATTTCTCTATCTATGTCCATGCCGACCCGAGATTCCCCTATGACCCGCCATTTTCTGGTGTCTTCGCCCACCGGGTCATCCCCTCCCGACCCGCCCAGCGATTCACCTCCACTCTCATCTCCGCGACTCGTCGTTTGCTCGCCCACGCCCTCCTCGATGACCCCAAGAATGCCATGTTCGTGCTTCTCTCTCCTTCCTGCATCCCCATCCGGTCCTTCAACTTCACGTACCAAACCCTCGCCCGATCGAAGAAGAGCTTCATCGAGATTCTAGACAATGAGATCGGGGCGTACGACAGGTGGGCGGCGCGTGGGGAGGACGCGATGCTGCCGCAGGTGAAGTTGGAGGAGTTTCGGATCGGATCCCAATTCTGGATCTTGAAGCGGAAGCACGCGAGGGTGGTTGTGGGTGACCACCAGCTCTGGTCCAAGTTCAAGCTACCGTGCCAGCGTTGGGACACATGTTACCCAGAGGAAAATTACTTTCCTACCCTCTTGAACATGAGAGACCCAAGCGGGTGTGTGCCCGCTACCCTCACGCACGTGGACTGGCGCGGGAGATTCGATGGCCACCCCCGTACGTATGAGGCCTCCGACTTGGGGCCCGATTTGATCACCTCCCTGAGAAATGACAGGCCAAAATACGGTGACGAGAAGGAGAGCGGCAACGGCTCTAATTGGTCCTTGAAGGAACGACGAGACCCGTTTTTGTTCGCAAGGAAGTTCCCGCCGGATGCAATTGGACCGTTGATGAGTATGGCCAATGACGTCATCTTCAAGGATTAAGATGCGATGACATATTTAGGATTTTATTTTTTTTGGTTTGTAATTTACAAATGAAATTATTAACATAAAGAAAAAAAAATGAAACCGAGGCAAACCCGGTGGGTTTGAGCAGCAAAATGTATATATTTTTCATTTATTGTTTTTTGGGGTGAGTTTTCTTGGTTTTTCCAAAGTGGAAAAACGTGTTTGGTTAAGCCTAAGCGGTGCAATGTCTCTTTTTAGACTTTTATGAGTGGTAGTGTTTTGGCTTTACAGATTCTCCTACGGCCAAACTAAGCGATTGTCAATGATCAAAAGCTTTGCCCTTTAACAAACTTAAAAGGACCTTAATGTTTTGTTTTCATGGGAATTGCCTAACTTTGGCTCTTTTTTCTTATGTAGTTGATGCATGTTTTAATGTCTATCATTCATCGTGTCACGCGACATAATAGATGTCATGTATTGGGTAGCGGCGTAGTCGGGCCTAGGCCAAAAGTCGTCTTGTCCTACCTCCCCATCCAAATTTTTTCATTATCTCAATAGCCAAAAAGGATTGTATAATTAAATTGTGTGTTTCACATTTTGACCCATAAACATTAAAGTTTTGGCTCTAACTTTCTACATGTCATATGTTATTTCTGTTATATAGGATTTTAGGTAGGAAAAGGTAAAGGGGAAAAATGATGTGTCACGTTGTTGGCTAGAAAAGGAAATGAGGTAGGTGGAAGGTACCTAGTAAATCTAGGCGAGGGAATTGCATGTATTTACATCAGGGTTGGTAAAGAGGTATTAACTTTTTACCAAAAATATAAATAAAAATTACTTTAAGTATGTTGCTTGGTATAGTAGGTATGTTGAGATTATTTGAGAAAAAAATGTTTTTTTGTTTGGGTCTGGTACTATGAATGTTATCTACAGGAGAAAACACGTGGTCAAATCTAGCACCTAGTCCGCTAGCGGCTTTAATTTTTTATTTTTTTTATATATATTTAGCAACTCACTCACTCACATCACACGTTGCATTTGGGCTAACGCACTATTGTCTTTTCCATTATCTCAATAGCCAAAAAGGATTGTATAATTAAATTGTGTGTTTCACATTTTGACCCATAAACATTAAAGTTTTGGCTCTAACTTTCTACATGTCATATGTCATTTCTGTTATGTAGGATTTTAGGCAGGAAAAGTTAAAGGGGAAAAATGATGTGTCACGTTGTTGGCTAGAAAAGGAAATGAGATAGGTGGAAGGTACCTAGTAAATCTAGGTGGGGGAATTGCATGTATTTACATCAGGGTTGGTAAAGAGGTATTAACTTTTTACCAAAAATATAAATAAAAATTACTTTAAGTATGTTGCTTGGTATAGTAGATATGTTGAGATTATTTTAAAAAAAAATGTTTTTTGTTTGGGTCAGGTACTATGAATGTTATGTGGAGTAGAAAAATCACATGGTCGTCAAATCTAGCGCCTAGTCCGCTAGCGGCTTTAATTTTTTATATTTTTTATATTTAGCAACTCACTCACTCACACCACACGTTGCATTTGGGCTAACGCCTATTGTCTTGATATCTGTACCCACATTCTCTTTTTATTTTATAATCAATTTCGAATAATTATTTTTATAATAAAAAATTCAAAATAGTTATTCTTTAATCAATTTTTTTTTCTCTCTCTATGTTCCTATTGAAGAGAAGTGCATGAAGATTATTTTTAAATAATTTTTAAAATCAACGGCCCGTGGAGTTATTATGATGATAATAGATAAAAGGGAATGTTAGCAACCTTCTCTTAACCTTTTCTTTTGGGCCTTCTCCATTTAACTTATGACATGTGTCACTTTCTTTATACTTAAAACAATGTCATTAATGTATCACATAAACTAATTTTTATTTTCCGAGTTTACTCTTATTAAATATATTGATTCTTTTTTACAAGAAATTAGTCTTTTTAAAACTTCATTTCTGATCACCTTTTTTACTTTAAAATTGTTTAATGTCCCTTTTTTTCTTCTCCTAGAAAACAGATTTTGCTTCTTTTTTTACTGATGTTTATTGCTATTAATGTTCGTTTAATATTTTGCTTCTTTTGCTTCTTTTCATTTATGTTTATTGTTCTTTTTTTTTCTTTTTGCTTATTTATAATATTTATCTTATGCTTGTTGTTATTTATGTTTTACTGTCTTGTTTTTTTTTTCTTCTGATATGTTTATTGTTATTAATATTTATGTTTATTGTCATTTTTGTTGTGGAAAAAAAAAAACAAACGTTCACTTTGAAAAAAAAAGAAAAAAAAGAAGACACTTTTGAAAATAAATAAATAAATTTTCGTTTTTCTTATGTATATATTTTTTAATAAGGTGGTAATAAAGTTGTAAAAAAACCAATACATTCAATAAGGATAAATTTGGAAAACAAAAATTAGCTTGTGTGATGCATTAATTACATTGTTTTAAGTGTAAGGATAATGATATATGTCATGAGGAAAAGGGAGAAGGTATAAAGGAGAAAGTTAAAGAGAAGGTTGCTAGCTCATAATTCAATTTTGAAAAAGCTTTGTATCAATGGCGTCGATAAGGTGGATGGGAGAGAAGGAACCAGATTGATGTTGACATCTCAATTTCAGTGGTCTTATAATTAATTGGAATTCGCAAATCCTCCTCCCCACTTTTTTTTTTCTTTTTTTTAAAAACCCCCCGAAATAAGATAACAAAATCTAAAAATAGAGGAAAATCATAATGAGAATAGTAAAACTGAAAAAAAAAATATAGACAGTTTGGATCGTTGAAAAAAATTGTAAGGAATTGACAAACTGTTGGAACTGATACATGATTTTATTTCTCAGTTTCCAAGGTGATGAGTAAGTTAATTTGGTTTGGGTATGTTGTTAATGGAACGATTTGGTTAATTGTATATGTCCTAACAGATTTTTGTTTCTTTAATATGATTTGAGTAATTGCTCTATTTATTCAAACACAAACAATTTGGGTAGCAAGAGCAACCCTTTCTTTGTTCTTTTGCTATTTTGTTGTACCTTACAAACAATTTGAGCATATTAGTGCCTAATTGAGCTTGTTTCTCTAATGTTTTTAGGGTGCAAACTGTTGGATATCCCTCGTTAGTGGAGTTAAAAGGTGTAGCTGGTGTTGATTGGTAGCAATAATTCTTCTCTATTTGCTGTTGTGATTGACAATTTCAATTAGCTTTATGGATGGCTTGTGCTTTTAGCTGGCTTGTGTTTTCGATGTGCACTGTGTGCATGTGTGTGTGCTTGTGTCGCACCAAAGAGAGAAAGAGAGAGAGCACGGTAGAGAGGAGAAATGTGAGGGAGTGGACTACTTGTGAGACGCAAGCAAGCAGTCCCACGAACTTGAGGAGGATGTTTCAGCTGGAAGTTAGATGGGTTCATCAAAGGTTCAAGGGAGGGTATATCTCTTGGGTGAGAGTGTTTTTCACATGTATGAGATTAGAAGACGAATTTAATTGGGACTTCTTGTCATCTGTTTGTATCTTGTACTGACGAAAATTATGTTAATGAAAATTTCATTCATTTCAAAAAGTTATTGGGTTTGTGTAAACACTTCACTAAATTTGTAATTGATTGCCCTTCTATTTTCCTTTTTCAGTGTTATACCATTTCATCTCATTGGTGAAAGTGGCCCAGCATATCATTACCACATTCTTTTGGCATACCAAAGCTTGATGGGTATTTTTTTGGTACGCTTTTCAATTTATATGGTTTAGACCCATACTCTACTAAAATCTAAATGAGAAATTTTGTAAAGACTAGTAAAAATAAGAAGAAAAAAAATTCTGCTTCCAGTGATTGTAGAATAAAAATATGATCATAATAGTTCATTGCAAGTTGTACAATAGAAAAAACACCAATAGAGTATATTGGAGTTTAAATCAAAATGAGTCTAGATTTCCAAGCATAAACACCTCTTGCACCTGCACCTAAAATTATACACAAAGTTGAGTCAACGAATTAGATAACTTAAAATATAAGGAGGCAGTACTTATATTGACAGGACCCGTCCCGAATTTCCCAGAACCCGAGACGAACCCTGCGGAGACCCCGGCATCACCCCCATGCCGGGTTCACTCCTTAAATCTATGTCCTCGTTTACCAGAGAGGATTAGGGGCACGAGACTTCCTGCCGAAATTTCGGCAGAGTCTCCCCTATAAATTGAACATTTCCCCAAAATTTCCACCTGCATAAAACACATTTATAACCCAA